TGAATTCTTCTGAACCAGGCTTGGTGTAGGAAGGCCTGAGGTTTCAACACATATCTAATGGGGCTCAAATTTGGATATGTCATAATAGACACCCATTGGAACAACCTTTATGAAGAATGTATTCCCATCTGAGCAATACAAGTGTATGTTTTGGGCCTTGCAAGTTGACTACCGAAAATAGACTGGAATTGACTTCATTGCAGTCAGCTTGTGGGCTTGTTTTGGGTTTGATCTTCCCTCCTACAAAATCTGAAAAAATCTGGATCTTCAAACCCTTTGCATTATCTTTCCAAGCATATGCAGCCCAGCTCAAGGAAAAATCGGAAAGCCCTTCAAATGTCATTTTTGGCCCAGTAACGCAGATTCTGCCGAATTTGACCTTAAGCTGCCAAAACTTGCATAACTTTCTCTAGAAGACTCGGAATCATGAACCGTAAAATTCTCCAAAAACTAGACTTCCGTATCTTTCCAATGATGTATGGTTCGTTATCTGGTTCTTCTTGAGCAAGTACAGTCCAATCCGTGAAGTTGACTGATCTTCAGACACCATTTTGAGCTAACTTGTCTCCAAAATGCATTTAATGAGTCTCAAGCTTATTACACTGAAACATTATTAAAAGCACAAGTTTAACTCAAAAACATAATCAAATCATAACTTAGAAGGGTACAAAATGATATATAAATATGCACTGATCACCAATTACAGCACGCCATGTGGAAAAGAAGATTATCCCTTAAATTAATTAATTAAACTAATTTATTTGGTTAATTAATTAATAGAGATAATATCTTTATTATAAGATATTATCTTTATTTAATAAGATAATATCATTAATTTGGATATTATCCTAATAAGGGGATAATATCTTAATTATAAGATATTATCTTATAATTAATGAGATAATATCATTAATTTAGATATTATCCTAATAAAGGGATGTAATCAAGTCCGACTAAATTTCTACGAAACCCTAGCCCCGAGGCTCCTATAAATAGATGACTTCATTCATCATTAAAGGGACGACATCTAAACCTACTTCTAAACCTAACTCCAAAACTCGAGAAAAATACTCGAAGCTTTCTCTCTCCTTCTCCACTCTCCACTCTCCATATTTTCTCCACACGGCTCCGCCCACCAGGTTCTGTTTGTGCCTAATAAATCATGATCATGAACTGGCCGAAGGAGTCCCTTTTCTCGGCCCTGGCACTGGCTCGTAAAAGCTAAAGCGCAGCGTTTTGCCAAGATGTCTGGCCTTTCTAGAAACAAAGGAAAAATGGCTAAGGCCGAGGCCAAACAAAATCATGGCCAAAGGCATTAAAGTCGAATCATCACGTGACAACTGGGTCCCATGCTTCATTTAATGAAGTAGTGCCTCTGTTTATTGCAGCAAACCCATTGGCCACAAATAAGCATTTAATGCACGAGGGAAGGTGGGAAGTGATTGAAGTCAGGATTTGGTGATGAGGATCAAAGTGATTAGACGTGAACATTCTCACAAGAATTCTGGCAGCTTGAGATATTAGGTCACCAGCTATCAAAGCCATAAATGCGTCTCCACGGCCAGAAGCGCAGAGTCCATGATCATGGCGGCGGCCGAGATTCACCAGGATTTATGAGGTCACACCACCATACTTCACGATCCCAAATGTCGATTAGACTACCCACTTGCTCTAATCAGGCTCCACCATGCGGATTTTCAGCCTCGAGTACTCCTCCAAGAACTCTTCCTATAAATACAAGGCTCAAGCTACATTCAAAGGGTTCAAACACCAAACCAAAGCCTCCCACGGAGCAACTTTTTTTTTCCTGTAATGCATTTTCAATATCTTTACTTGCTTTCCTAGGAGTAGTGTTAGACTGTAAGGAAAATCCATTCATCAATATATCATACGACCCTTGATTTTCAAGGCACCGGAGCACCATCTCTGTTATTCGCTCATTCACCCCATATATCATACGACCGTCGCTCGTCGAGCCACGCGCCGGAGTACCGCCCAAAACCCACCACCAACACCATCACTAAACGGCCTTGTAGCTCAGGCCGTGAACCTAACAGCCGAGATTAGTTCCTCTCTCGGCTACAATCGTTTGATTAGAAGACGAGTCCAACAGGCGCACCACTTAACCATTCAATCCACATCAACCATCTCGACGCACGGTAGACCGTGCTGGCACGCCCGCGCACCCAAAAGCAGGAAGCCGCGTGTCAACGCATATCCCCTCGGCCCGGAACTCCAGGCCGTGAGATTTGCGCGGCAGACAGGTTCTCACCCTAGAGAAATCTCCGTACCCTTTTTAGCTATTGTTTCATCTAGATTCAATCGAACTAAATTAGGCATCGGAGGGCCTTTGGCCAACACCCCCCGGGTGTGGTCTATTTACTCCGGTCTTTTTTACAGGAATCGAGGACGAGAGAGAAGGAAGATCAAAGGGCAAAGGATCTAGAAGCAAATATTCTCCCGCGAGATTATTTGCACAAACAATTACTTTGAATGAGAAGTTCCATGCCAGGAAAAAATATTATTTAATATTCTTGTGGCTGTAATCAATTTTAAAACCCATATTAGACATCACAACAACTACAACAATAATAAGTAAATCACATGAAATTTTCCAAACCCATATCAAATTTGGATATGTAATCTCAACTTTTAGCAGAAATCTTCAAATCGATTTAAAAAAAAAAAAAAAAACCTGTTAGATACCAGAACAACACAACCATCATAAGTCACATGAATTTTTCCAAACCCATATTAAATCTGGAGATTAATTTCAACTTAGATTTTAAAAAAACTCAAAAATCTACAAACTCAGACTCGTACATCTCTAAATCGACGACCACAACCCAAATTTCGAAAGGAAAAAAAAACCACGACAGTGGATACCTTATAGAAATAGAAATCTTGGAAGCTGAGTTGGAAATGGTGGGTCATCTCTTCATCTCGAGAGAGTGGGTTTTCTTTTAGGCTTGCAAGGGGCTTGTTGTTAATATTATGTTAACTCTCAATTGTATGGGGCAATTAGTAGTATGGTAAGAGAAGTACGAGGTCGTACCCACGAAGACTGAGAAGTTAAAACTAGTTATGTACTTAGATTACCAAATTCAAGAAAGTAAGAGGTTATGTCTAAAACAGAATTTAAAGCAAGAGTGGTTGTGATTGTTGAACAAAATAAGCAAAATGAAATTGCAAACAAAAACAAGTAAACAGAGTGGTTTTAAGAGATGGAAAACAGATTTGGAGACTAGGGCATTCGAATCACCATAACAATTCAATTCTGGGTTATAAGGAGTCAAGTAACAAGTCTAATTCATATTCAAAGATTGATTCTAGCTAAAGTATGATTAGG